TTTCATTGGAAAAACATTTTTCTACGGTTTGCTATGGTGTGTACACTCTTAGAAAAAAGGGTTCCAAAAGGGTTTTTCGGCTGTCCCCATAGGAGAATCCTTTTTGGATTCAGGTAGAACCTTTTTTCCACTGTGGAAAGGGTTCTTCATGGAACCCAAAAGGGTTTTACCTGGAACCAAAAGGGGTTTTACCTGGAAACAATAAGGGTTATTCAAAGGGTTCTCCTATGGGGACAGCCGAATAACCCTGTTAGGTTCTAGATAGCACCTTTCATTCTAAGAGTGTACTAATGAATACAAATCAGATCAAATCAAATCAAATCAAATCAAATTTTATTGGCCACATGTGCCGAATACAACAGGTGCAGACATTACAGTGAAATGCTTACTTACAGCCCTTAACCAACAGTGCATTCATTTTAAATAAAAAAGTAAAATAAAACAACAAAAAAGTGTTGAGAAAAAAAGAGCAGAAGTAAAATAAAATAACAGTAGGGAGGCTATATATACAGGGGGGTACCGGTGCAAAGTCAATGTGCGGGGGCACCGGCTAGTTGAGGTAGTTGAAGTAATATGTACATGTGGGTAGAGTTAAAGTGACTATGCATAAATAATTAACAGAGTAACAGCAGCGTAAAAAGATGGGGTGGGTGGTGGGGGTGTCTTTTGGACCTAGACTTGGCACTCCGGTACCACTTGCCGTGCGGTAGCAGAGAGAACAGTCTATGACTAGGGTGGCTGGAGTCTTTGACAATTTTGAGGGCCTTCCTCTGACACCGCCTGGTATAGAGGTCCTGGATGGCAGGAAGCTTGGCCCCAGTGATGTACTGGGCCGTACGCACTACCCTCTATAGTGCCTTGCTGTCGGAGGCCAAGCAGTTGCCATACCAGGCGGTGATGCAACCAGTCAGGATGCTCTCGATGGTGCAGCTGTAGAATTTTTGGAGGATCTGAGGACCTATGCCAAATCTTTTCAGTCTCCTGAGGTGGAATAGGCTTTGTCGTGCCCTCTTCACGACTGTCTTGGTGTGTTTGGACCATGATAGTTTGTTGGTGATGTGGACACCAAGGAACTTGAAGCTCTCAACCTGTTCCACTACAGCCCCGTCGATGAGAATGTAGTCCACAATCATCTCCTTTGTCTTGGTCACGTTGAGGGAGAGGTTGTTATCCTGGCACCACATGGCCAGGTCTCTGACCTCCTTCCTATAGGCTGTCTCATCGTTGCCGGTGATCAGGCCTACCACTGTTGTGTCGTCGGCAAACTTAATGATGGTGTTGGAGTCGTTCCTGGCCGTGCAGTCATGGGTGAACAGGGAGTACAGGAGGGGACTGAGCACGCACCCCTGTGGGGCCCCCGTGTTGAGGATCAGTGTGGCAGATGTGTTGTTACCTACCCTTAGCACCTGGGGGCGGCCCGTCAGGAAGTCCAGGATCCAGTTGCAGAGGGAGGTGTTTAGTCCCAGGATCCTTAACTTAGTGATGAGCTTTGAGGGCACTATGGTGTTGAATGCTGAGCTGTAGTTAATGAATAGCATTCTCACGTAGGTGTTCCTCTTGTCCAGGTGGGAAAGGGCAGTGTGCAGTGTAATAGAGATTGCATCATCTGTGGATCTGTTGGGGCGGTATGCAAATTGGAGTAGGTCTAGGGTTTCTGGGATAATGGTGTTGATGTGAGCCATGACCAGCCTTTCAAAGCACTTCATGGCTACAGACGTCAGTGCTACGGGTCTGTAGTTATTTAGGCAGGTTATCTTAGTGTCCTTGGGCACAGGGACTATGGTGGTCTGCTTGAAACATGTTGGTATTACAGACTCAGTCAGGGACATGTTGAAAATGTCAGTGAAGACACTTGCCAGTTGGTCAGCGCATGCTCGGAGTACACGTCCTGGTAATCCGTCTGGCCCTGCGGCCTTGTGAATGTTGACCTGCTTAAAAGTCTTACTCACATCGGCTACGGAGAGCATGATCACATAGTCATCCGGAACAGCTGGTGCTCTCATGCATGCTTCAGTGTTGCTTGCCTCGAAGCGAGCATAGAAGTGGTTTAGCTCGTCTGGAAGTCTTGTGTCACTGGGCAGCTCGCGGCTTTGCTTCCCTTTGTAGTCTGTAATAGTTTTGAAGCCCTGCCACATCCGCCGAGCGTCAGAGCCGGTGTAGTACGATTAAATCTGAGTCCTGTATTGACTCTTTGCCTGTTTGATGGTTCGTCGGAGGGCATAGCGGGATTTCTTATAAGCGTCCGGGTTAGAGTCCCGCTCCTTGAAAGCCGCATCTCTACCCTTTAGCTCAGTGCGGATGTTTCCTGTAATCCATGGCTTCTGGTTGGGGTATGTACGTACGGTCACTGTGGGGACAACATCATCGATGCACTTATTGATGAAGCCAGTGACTGATGTGGTGTACTCCTCAATGCTATCTGAAGAATCCTGGAACATGTTCCAGTCTGTGCTAGCAAAACAGTCCTGTAGCTTAGCATCTGTGTCATCTGACCACTTTTTTATTAACCGAGTCACTGGTGCTTCCTGCTTTAGTTTTTGCTTATAAGCAAGAATCAGGAGGATAGGGAGAGCTTTGTATGCGTCTCTGTGTGTGGAGTAAAGGTGGTCTAGTGTTTTTTTTTCTCTGGTTGCACATTTAACATGCTGGTAGAAATTAGGTAGAACGGATTTAAGTTTCCCTGCATTAAAGTCCCTGGCCACTAGGAGTGCTGCCTCTGGATGAGCGTTTTCCTGTTGACTTATGGCCTTATACAACTCATTCAGTGCAATCTTAATGCCAGCATTGGTTTGTGGTGGTAAATAGACAGCTATGAAAAATATAGATGAAAACTCTCTTGGTAAATAGTGTGGTCTACAGCTTATCATAAGATACTCTACCTCAGGCGAGCAAAACCTCGAGACTTCCTTAGTATTTGATTTTGTGCACCAGCTGATGTTTACAAATATACACAGACCGCCACCCCTTGTCTTACCGGAGTCAGCCGTTCTATCCTGTCGATGTAGCATATAGCCCGCTAGCTGTATGTTGTCCATGTCGTCGTTCAGCCACGACTCCGTGAAACATAAGATATTACAGTTTTTAATGTCCCGCTGGTAGGATAACCGTAATCTTAGGTCATCCAATTTATTCTCAAATGATTGAAGATTCGCTAATAGGATTGATGGGAGAGGCAGTTTACTCGCTCGCCGTCAGATCCTTACAATGCACCCCGACCTACGTCCACGATATCATCTCTTCCTCATGCGAATGACGGGGATTTGGGCCTTGTCGGGTGTCTGTAGGATATCCTTTGCGGCCGCCTCGTTGAAGAAAAAATATTTGTCCAATGCGAGGTGAGTAATCGCTGTCCTGATATCCAGAAGCTCTTTTTGGTTATAAGAGACAATGGCAGAAACATTATGTACAAAATAAATTACAAATAACGCGGAAAAACACACATAATAGTACAATTGGTTAGAGGGCTGTAAAACGGCAGCCATCTTCTCCAGCGCCATTCTGGTTTCAACCATTATTCTCACTGAATCCAGTGCTTGACTTGGACTGGAATAGGTGCCGGTACTCCACGATACTGTTCAGGTAATAAGAGGTGCAGGAGCTCAAGCAGTAGAACATTTGAGGTGCCGGTACTCAGGTCGTGCCCATGTCAAGCACTGACAGATTCAATAGGTTCAACAACAGATTACCATACTGTACATGTCCGGGCATATTGAACAAAGCACAAACAAAGGACTTGAGTGTTTTGAACAGCACACTGTGGTTTCTAGAAACAAACATCTAACAAACTGTATTAATCTCTCTCTGAATCCCTGTGTGACCCTTTCTAATTGTTGAAGAACAATTGTCTATCATGAGAGTGTGCACTAAACTGGAGCGTTCAGTTATCAGGAGCAATTATCAAGTATGTCATTGAATTGCAACGTGAAAACTCACTTAAACTCGTGAAGAGCACTTATTCTATCAGACGTCAACTGTGTCTCAGTTTAATGCTTCTCCATTTCCTCTATCTAGCCCAACAGGGACCGTTTCTGAATTGTGCTACTGATCTGGACTGATTAAATGTTAGTTATAGGAAGTTGATGGACTGTTGCAGGAAATGTATACAATAAATTGTTACAGGAATTGGTGCATTCCAATAATCTCACCTTCTTCCTGAAGTGTGCATGGGCTAGAGAGAGTTTCCATGTACTAGTCATTTCCTTTCAAATCCATGAAGAGAAGTGAACAGGTACACACTTTGGAGGAAAGGAGAGATAATTGGGACGCAATCCTGGTGAGATAAAGTTATAACACAGTAGCTGTGAAACCAGTGAGGCTTGAAGTAGTTGCAGTTTATGGATGACAAAGAACTGTTGGCAGTCTGCTCAAGCTTCCTATCTGCTCATAATAAAAATGCTGAGTCATCTCTTCAATTCAGACAACTTTAATCAGAGCTTTACGGAGCAACTAGGCAGGAAGTGAAAAGACAACCATAAGATCCATTGTAATTATTGACAACATTCCTTTATGACAAATGAGTAGTAGAACGTTCAGAGGAGAAAGAGAACGGGATCAGTGAGGGAACATCTACAAGAGTGTAATAAGAAAAACATCACAATATAACAATACTACAATAAGAAGTATGATGGTGATAGATACATCTCAATATAACAATATTACAATAAGAAGTATGATGGTGATAGATACATCTCAATATAACAATATTACAATAAGAAGTAGAGTGGTTTAGAAGTTCCTTCACTTTCATGGACTTCAGACGAGTACAGAACTACAGTGAAACAGCTATAGTGCAGCTATTATCCTTCTTTGGTATCAGGATTCTCTTTGGAAGTCACTACAAATGTCAAGTCTGGCCAGGGACCTGTGTGGCTCAGTTGATAGAGCATGGCGCTTGTGGGTTTGAATTCCTACTAGGGTAACCCATGCAAAACTGGATAACAGCATCTGCTAAATGGCATATATTATACAGTATCTTGTGGAGCTGAGGGAAGCTCACCACCTGCTCAGGGACTATACAGGATAGATATAACCCTTTTGGCTACACCTGGGTCGTATTCATTAGGCACCAAATGGAAGAAAATGGACTGAAAAAGGGAGGGACTACCTGGACAATGAGAAATATTTGTTTTTGTTTCTTTGTTTCTTCGTTGTAAAACATTTTAAAACATCACATACCCTAATGAATACGACCCTCATACATTTACAGAAATGTTGATTTGATTCAAGTGCCATGTCCAAGTCCTTCAGATAAAGGTAGTACAGTGACGTCAGGTCAAGTTAATATCAAATGCGTTTGTAGACGTAGATGATTTTGTTGCAGGTGGGACAGCTGTGCTCCACGTCTTTACATGATTCTACACAGAACGGGATGACGCAGCATAGCCAGCACCTACAGGGTTAAACAGTGGAATTAATTAATTGTCTCCGTCCAAAATGGTACCCTATTCCATAATGCACAAATTAAAGGTATGCCTATAGGCTTTAGCTGAGAGGGCTAACACTGGCGTGTCATGCACAGAAGACCTGGGTTTGAACCCTACTTTCCATATTCCCTAGTGCACAACTAGGCTTTAGCTCAGAGGGCTAACACTGTTGTGTAGTGCACATGTGACCCGGGTTTCGTACCCCAGTCGGTCATATACACAGCTATACTACAGCATAGCATTAGAGGATGATTTCTCTCACCCGACGATGAAGAGGCCACCACAGATGAGCCAGGTGAGCAGGCCAGGGTTGGTTTCTGTCTTGGTGACCACGGTCTGCTGGCAGTGGGGACACATGGTCAAACCTCCAACCTCCTTCAGGCTAGGAGTCATTATTACATGGGTCACTGAGGAGAGAGAGAGACACAAGGTTAAGAATAATTATTACATGGGTCAATGAGGAGAGAGTCACACAAGGTAACCAAGTTCCCCACCAAGTTCAATTTTTTCCCTTATTTTTTTTCTTAACATTTCCCAATCTTTTATGCTTTCCTTATTCTGTCCATCTTTCTTTGGACACTCAAAACATTTTCTTGCCTCTTCCCATGTCTTTTGTCTATCTCTCACTTTCCTTCCATCATTCTTTACGACTTTGAAGGGGGCACCGATGTGACACGGATTGTAGTGTAATTGAAGAGTGTAATGTAAAAGGAACTATTTAGTGGATCATGAAAACAACTTAATTCAACTTATCCAGAAAGACAGAAATACTGACACCTGGTGGTCTGCTGAGTACAACTGCACTTTATAAACTTTCTACACACACGTGTGCACGCACACACACACACACGCGCACGTGCAGACACACACACACACAAACACACACACACACACACAGTTGAATTGTACTTCCTTATACTAGCCCAAAGAGAATAAAATAACCTTCCCTTTCTAAAGACTAAATATTTACTCAGGTATTGTTTTGTTCTGCTAAACAGTTCTCCACAGCAGACAATGATGTTTCCTTTGAACCAGTTTACTGTAGAATCTTAGCCTGGTCTCTGACTTGTTTGTGCTCATTGTGACAATTACAGCAATGGAGTTGTAGATTGCAGATCTGGGACCAGGCTAGTCGAGTCTGCCTGAGAGCTGAGGAAGAAAATCTGATCCAGGATCAGAGAGTCCATTCATTCCCACCAGGCTGCTGCACATTTTAGAGTGCCTCCAAATCAAATCACCTCTCTGGCACAGCACAATAACATCAGTGTAAGAGAAGGGTCACAACCCAAATGGGTGAGAGAGGCTGTGTCTCAAATGGCACCCTATTCCCTATATAGTGTACTACTTTTGACCAGGGCCCATAGGCCCACTATATAGGGAATTGGGTTCCATTTGGGATGAAGCCAGAGAGGAAAAGCCTAATCCAAAACATGGATGGAAACATTGACTTGTTATCTTGTGAATGTATGCACAGATTTTACCTTCTGAACTTTTCTCCTTCTAGTCTTTGACTAAGACATTATGTAACTTCATATCCCCTGGTTTCCTGGAGTAGCTCTGACTGAGACATTATGTAACTTCATATCCCCTGGTTTCCCGGAGTAGCTCTGACTGAGACATTATGTAACTTCATATCCCCTGGTTTCCTGGAGTAGCTCTGACTGAGACATTATGTAACTTCATATCCCCTGGTTTCCCAGAGTAGCTTTAGATACAGTTTATAGATATTCTGTGAGTCACCTTGTTTTCCGGTATTTCACATTCCTTTCTCATTCCGGAAAATGTTTTATTCTTTCCATTCATTCCTGTTCTCGCCCACCGCTCCTGTCCAGGACCTGCCCATACATATAGTCACTGCTCAGACTGCCCACACAGTTTGGGTCAATTCCGGGGAAATAATTATACTCAGGTCACAAGTTGGTTGTTCAAACATGTCATGTGCATTTGGGTTAATCTTCGAGTAAGTTCCTTATTTAGCTCATATTAACCCCAATTAACCTTTGATAATGTGTGTGTGTGCGTGTGCGTGTGCGTGTGTGTGTGCGTGTGTGTGTGAGGTGGAAGTGGAAGTGTCAACTCACCGACTGGCACAGGATCACTTGGTCCAGAGGTGTACTGTGGTGGAGGTGGGTACACACCTGCTTGGGGACCTTGAATAGGAGAGTAAGATCCCAATCACAATGTGGTCACAATGCAATGAACATGTTGTTACTATACCACCATGCTCTGTGGAGTTAGATTGTATCTGGTGGTGGAACCGTGCTTCTACATTTGCATTGCTTGCTGTTTGGGGTTTTAGGCTGAGTTTCTGAAATAGCACTTTGTGACATCTGCTGATGTAAAAAGGGATTTATAAATACATTTGATTGATTGATTGATTGGAAATGGACTTGATTAAAGGGATAGTTCAGCAGTTTTACATAGCGGTTTGCCATTATTTAGGTACTTGTTATCTTACCTCAAAAGCAGTCTTTTGTCACAGGTTGCTTGCTCAGACTCCTTTCAATGTAAGGAAACAAATTGTCTAAATATGTAACATTGCTGAACTATCACTTTAACTGGGTTAACCCACATGATTCAGATAGTTGCGCTGTATCATCAACAAAATTCACACCCAGTGATGTTCATTTCCAGTTCCAATGGGTTCCACCCCATTTCCAGTTCCAATGGGTTCCACCCCATTTCCAGTTCCAATGGGTTCCACCCCATTTCCAGTTCCAATGGGTTCCACCCCATTTCCAGTTCCAATGGGTTCCACCCCATTTCCAGTTCCAATGAGTTCCACCCCGCATTTCCAGTTCCAATGGGTTCCCCCCATTTCCACCATTGTATGATAGTTCTGCTCTTGATATGAGCTTGTTTACATATGTCTGGATAAGAGCATGTACTGTAATACATGACTAGAATGTGCGTAGTTAAATATAATAGTCAAGGCTTTATGGTGTGCGTAGGTGTTTGAGTGTTTTCCCACACATTATTGACATTGAAGGGGAGTGTTTCCAAAGAAAAGTGGTGTTGCAAAATAGTACTTGAAGGAGGTAAGTGTTTGCTGTGATGTAATCCAAAACACAATCAATATAATTCAAAGGAGGGGAAAGAATACTCAAGATAACTTTTTTAACAGTATGTTCTCACTTTATAAGTGCTTGAATGGTTTCGGAGAACTGAAGGATAGGGTACTTTCCAAAGTCTCCATTCTCCACCAGTGTAACCAAAGAGCAGGAGAGACAGACACAGATAACCACAAATCAAGCTGTTTGTTTTTGTTGTGTATTCTTATTTGGCTTTGGCTGATTGTATCATATCTACAGTAGTTCCCACAAGGGATAGAGCACTTTCAATTAATCTCCATGGACCCAAATGTGTCTTTTAGTAGCATTTGTTGTGTGTCCTGTCGTCTCTAAGATCTAGGTGATTATGCAGAAAAAAATTAATTGAGAAACAAACATTCTAAGCCAGAGTTAGAGGAATTGGTTTAAAATTTCAAAAAATGCTTGGTTCTCACACGCAGAGTATACGGTAAATCCAGCCTTCTGAAGTACAGTATAAACCAGTAGACACTCACCTCCCTGGTAGGGACCAAGCTGGAACCCTGGTTGTGGAGGACCAGGGGAGGCAGGGTATCCTCCTGGAGGCTGAGTGTACAAGCCTGGCTGGGGGCCCTGGCCCGTGGTTATCCCCCCATAGTTCATGGGAGGTCCTGGGTAAGGGGCGGAAGGACCATCCCCGGGATAACCTTTCTCCATCTCCACTGATCTCTACCTGCAATGAGGGGAACTGTTATGTGTGTTGTGTTTATTTATTTGGATCCCCATTAGCTTTTGCAGAAGTATCAGCTACTCTTCCCGGGGTCCACAATAAAAAAATAACATGACTAGTAACAAAACACTGATACACTGATACCCTTTACAGAAAGACGTTGCCTGTAAAAAAAAATCTGCCAATGTTTTTAAGAAGCCAATTTATAAAGTCCTATTTTTACCACGTTCTTGCCAGGAGAAGTATTTTATATCTCCCATTCACATGCTGGCAAGTTTAGGAGTGGGAGTAGTCGTGAGCCGATGTGGGTAGACGCCTATTTTAATAAACCCATTGAATATACCACCATCAAAGAAATACATTATTAATTTGTTTAGGCAAGTCCTATGAAACAGACTAATACAATACATTTTCTAAAGAACAGAATAGCATATTTTGAGCCTATAAGCTACATGGCCATGCACATGAAATCAATAGTTATTTTGTTCGTTAAACAGACAGTCAACAAATATATGTTATAGTAGGCTAAGAATATAATGGACTATAACAGAATAAAATACAAATAATATTTTTGCCACACAGCTTCCGTCACAGGAACATGTGGAACCGCTGTCATATATCCACATTTCATCTCTTTTTCAACCTCTGCAGGCTTTTGGAGTTGCCTATACATGGTCGAGCAAAATAATACACTTGATTTAGGCTACATTATTGCATGCTAAATGTGTCTGATCAGTGATAGATGAGAAAACGATTAGATGAGCTATACCACCTCCACTTATTTGCCCAGCCAGAGAATTAACCACATATAAACACAGAGATTCAGTGAAACAAAATCCCATTGATTAAGAAGTCACAGGCTTTTTGTCAGGAGTAAGCCTAGGCTACTAAGCAACATTAGTGAAGAGCAAAATAATCCACTTGTTAACTACATTAGCATGCAGGCAACATGTTCTGATCAGTGATAATAAATGAGCCAACTAGACAACATGATCATGAGCAGCACTCACCTCAACTTAGCTAACATTTCCACAGCCTAACTGTAGCCTATAACCAATATCCAAATGGAGACTAAGTGAAAATAGAAACCGGACATTAATTGAATTATTAAGACCAGTCCCCACTCTTGTCTCAAAGCTGCCCGAAACGGCGCTGAAATTGTTGACCACACGCAGTAGGCTATTGCTTCAATAAAATGTATTATAACAATTGGATGACTTTGGGAGTTTCAGTAAGCAACAATTTGTTGCCTTCAATTGCATTAGACTACTTTATTACAATATTTGTGTCATTCAGTGATGTTTATTCCCACAGTAATTCTTTATGGCTCCATCCAGTTGTGGTTAAGAAAACAGTGCATGTGGTGGACTATGCGAAGAGATGGGTGAAGTCAAGTGACATGCCTCGCAAAGTTTAGAAAGGATGATAGCAGTAATGGCCGCTGCCTAGCAACCATCAAGACCTTAAGAGTGTAATGCGTGCCAATGCCGTCTCAGCATTACGGCTACATTTCATACTAAGCCATAGGCAGAACTTTACCGCAATCATGACTAGGCCGGTTAGCGGAAATAAAAGTTTATGCTTTGATACCGGCAACACCTTTCAGACATAGAGAAAAGGCAGAACAAAGTTGGCGGGATGCTAAAGTTGGTGGAACAAAGTATTGGTTTGAAAGGTGTATTATAGACAAGGACAGTCAGACAAATGTAAAATACAATGATATACAAACAACTAAAGCATAATGCAAACAATGCAACTAAAAAATGTTGTGTGTGTTAGAGTGTGTTTGTGTGCGTGTTCCCATACAGTCACTGTCATTCCATGAGATGTTGTTTAATCTGTTTTTAAAGGTAATTAGCTTTTTGCTTGAGTAATCATGGCTCTGTATAATACTGTGCGTTGCCATGAATTCATTTTGGACTTTGGGACTCTGTAGAGACCCCTTGTATTGTGGGTTTGCTGAGTGATTAACCAACATTTGTTTTTTTGGGGGGGGGTTATTAAACAACTAATTGACCGACGTCAGTTCAATTTAGTTCATTTTTTGTGAGCTCAACACGCCATTTCTCTAGAGAGAAATTAAATAATTAATGAGAGAAATCGGAAGAAATTAAGTTAAGAACTATGTGGGACGCTGGGCTGAAGGGAGTTGTAGTTTTCATTAAGCAAATATGTAATCTAATTCAGTGCAGAAATGTGGTAATTAACTGCGGCAGTTTTTTCGAGCTCAGAGACAGATCAGAGAGGAAGAGACGAAGCAAGAGGTTTCACTCTCGCCAAAATCTGTCCAAAATAAGCCCAGTGAGTTTCTATGGGATTATTTTGGACCTAAACTTTTCACCTTTCTTACCACCTTTGGGACAATGACTCGCATTGTTAGGGCATCGTCATTGTATAAAGATCTCTGGACGGATACACTTTTAAGCCTGCTAAGTTAAGTTAGCTACACACAGACCACATAGACCACATGAATGAGGAATGTACAAAACACAACGAGAGGGACAGAGACAGTTTGTGAAAGAAAGTATACCTTATCTACTTTGAAGAACTAGTAAAATGATTTAGTCAGACAGCTCTGCAGCAAACAGTGCCTTCAGAAAGTATTCAGACCCCTTGACTTTTTTCACATTTTGTTATGTTACAGCCTTATTCTAAAATAGATGACATAAATAAAAATCCTCAGCAATCTACAAACAAAACCCCATAATGACAAAGCGAAACTGGTGTTTAGAAAAAAACAGAAATACCTTATTTACATAAATATTCAGACCCTTTGCTATGAGACTCGAAATTGAGCTCAGGTGCATCCTGTTTCCTTTGATCATCCATGATATGTTTCTACAACTTGATTAGAGTCCACCTGTGGTAAGTCAATTGATTGGAAATGATTTGGAAAGACACCCTCCTGTCTATATAAGGTCCCACAGTTGACAGTGCATGTCAGAGGGAAGCCACTCCTCAGTAAAAGGTACATGACGGCCCGCTTGGAGTTTGCCAAAAGGCTCCTAAAGACTCTCAGACCATGAGAAAAAATATTTTCTGGTCTGATGAAACCAAGATTGAACTCTTTGGCCCGAATGCCAAAGCGTCACGTCTGGAGGAAACCTGGCAACATCCCTACGGTGAAGCATGGAGGTGGCAGCATCATATATCACTCATGCAAATGTGATATTTCCGTTTTTTATTTTTAATAAATTAGCAAAAATATCTAGAAAACTGTTTTTGCTTTGTTATTATGGGGTATTGTGTGTAGATTGATGAGGACATTTAAAAAAAAAATCAATTTCAGAATAATGCTGTAATGTAACAAAATGTGGAAAAAGTCAAGGGGTCTGAATACTTTCCGAAGGCACTGTACTTAGGCAGGGTAGCTAAATAGGATGACTAAAGAAAGTTCTGTATGGGGACCACATAACGTTAGATGGCCTGGCCTGCTGACTGCTATTGCCTGAGCAAAGATGAGATTATTCATTTAAGGAATGAAAAATAATAAAAAGTAAGTAATATACACAACTGAAATATTGTATTATTTCATAGTCATTTCCTATTTTTCTATTGATGTCTACTCAATATGGACCTGACAGAGACAATGGGATATTTTCAATGTTTTGGCAATTGAATGTTCGCTATTTTTGGCTTTGTAATTTCCATTAAAAAGCTCTAAAATCATTGTAACGTCATTATTCATAATACACTTTTTTGAAACCGAAATCCCAAAAGTTTTTTTTTTTTTTTTTTTTTTTTTTTTTTTCCTGAAACGACCTCAAAAAGAGGTATCTGCAGTTATCACAGTTAATTTCTTAATAGCTGCATGCATGTCAACAATTTGCATGAATAATTTCACAAATACTTCCAGTTCTGCATCTGAATTCACTTCCTCATACACATCAGACCAACATAAACATCTTCAACAAAAGAGTCCTGAGAAAATATTTTGTATGATCTCTTAGAAATTATTTTTGGTCCAACCTTTGTCACTTTGGCTTTCCTTGTTATTGCCACAATGTTATGGTCACTACAGCCAATGTTGTTGTGTTGTGGTATATTATTATGTTGTGTTGTGTTATATTAAGCACCTGGTCAGAGTTTCTATACCTACCCTACTTACTTACTTCTCCTTTTTCTTCCCGCCACACTTCTCGCTGGTTTCCATGACAACTTTTCATGAAAAGCAGAAGTCAAAGCATTGTGTGTTTGTTTACCTATAGCTACTCCTACACAATGCTTATTCTACTATTTTTCTTAAAAGAAGAAGTGAATGTGAAACAATGGAGTCAATGTATTGACATTGCTGTAGAATACTAAGGGGGAAATGGAAATCTATTATGTTTATCCTCATCTCTCAACTGTGTGTGACTATCCTACGACCATCTGTCTTTGAAGATCAGGCTTCCCAGAAGAGAGTTAACCTCAACTCAAGCATGGAGAGAAACCGTAGAGACCACTGTCCCTCATTAGTCTGTACTACTCTGTACTACTATAAGCCTATTACTAACCCACCTGTTTAAACAAATCAACGTAGTATCAAGCATTTTACTAGCTGAATCAGGTGGTGTTAGTGATTGGCAAGAACAAATATGTGCACCTCTGTGGGTCCCCAGATCTAGGATGAAGAAACCCTGCTAATGACCTGTTAATACTTAACTGTTAATACTCCCAAGTCTCGTTCATCACTCGGTTATAAGTAAGGTTGGAAATTGAAGCTAGCTATATGTTATCTGGCTGCTGTATAAACCCATTACGAAGGATTAATGTTGTAAACGTTGCCTTGAGATCGTGGACTCCCCTGTGCTTCCCTCCCTATGTTGCTCTGTCTCTCCTCTCATTGATTTGATAAAAGCCTCTGGATAGCCTACTAAAGCTTTCACATTATCAAAATGGTGTACTTGGACATGGATGAAGTAGTGCATCTGTTCTTGTAGTGTATAATACATCTACATTCTGAAGTAGTGTATCTGTATTGTACAGTAAAGCTGTTAGTATGGTTGTGTTTTTCTGTAGCATGAAATGATGTACTGTAACTGTATATTCAACCTATATTAAGTTGTGAGTCTGTATAGTAAACATACAGTGTGTATGAGGTTGTGTGTCAGTGGAGGCTGCTGACGGGAGGACGGCTCATAATAATGGCTGGAACAGAGTAAATGGAATGGCATCAAACACATGGAAACCTTGTGTTGGCTGTTTTTGATACCATTACACTCACTCTGTAGCTCAGCTGGTAGAGCATGGCGTTGTAACGCCTAATGTCGTGGGTTCGATCCCCGGGACCACCCCATACACAAAAAAAACAAAATGATGCACGCATGACTGTAAGTCGCTTTGGATAAAAGCGTCTGCTAAATGGCATATTATATTATTATAAAGTGCCTCCAACCTCCTGTGAACTCTACCCTGAGTTGGCTCCTACTCAGAGTAGATAAGGCCAGTCATTCTCCTCCAGCTCTGTGCCTTCTCATCGGCCCTCACAGCAAGTCATCCATCTCTATGGATGAGCACTCAAGAGCACACACACCATCTATCTCAAACACACGCATGCACACATGTACAAACAGGCACGTATGTTTGCACAAAAACATTCAAGCACATATGCACGTACGCAAAAGAGCATATAAATGCACGTCACATTTACATCCTACCTCGTGACACACACACACGCACACACACACACACATACATGTTTATGAACACACATCCACAATTAAAGTACACAACCAGTGCCACACCCTGACAAGGATTTCCACATGACTAACTGTAGATAACAGAAAGACACTCCCTTTCAACACACACTCATTTTAACAACTCCTCTATTCTCATAATAACACTATTCAACAGAGGACAGACCAACATAAAGCTCTACAATAACACAAACACTTCTGTAGAGAACTGGATATAATACAGATGTTGGATCTTAATTTGAGCCAGTTTGCTACAGCAGGAAAAAATAATCCTGCAACAACAGGACATTTTAATTATTATGTGGATTATAATTAATGGACGTTTTTGTAGGGGTTGATACATTTCAAAATGGAGATTACAAACGTTTAAATTTCCTGCATTGCAGGAAAGTTCTCCAGCAACAGGGTGATCAAATTAAGATCCTACATCTGTATTATATCCTGTTCTCTACAGAAGTGTAGTAACTAAACATTTACAAGTGACTGTCTGTATCCCAGGCTTTAGGCTAGCTCTTAACCCCAAACATCTACTACAGTACGGAAGGCCGTTCAGGTCTTGTGTGTCAAAATGAACACGTCAAATAACACTATTTGATGCATCAAATAAGACTATTTCACGCGTCAAATAACCGAGACAACTGTGACCTGAACGGCGTTCGTACTACAGAGCATAATACTCACCACCACCCCGCTCTCCTAAGGGTAGAATCTCTGATTCCTGGCCCAAATACCTCAAGGATTCCTAGGGTGAACGACTGGGCTGTGGGCCTTGAACTGTCCGGTCCTGGGAGAGAAAGAAATAAGGAGATGCCTTTGGCTTGAGACCGAAGAGGAAGTGGTGGGAGGAGAGTGTGAGAGGAGGATGTAAAGCAAGTTTTCCCAAGACCTCCTACAGTTTCTGATATTAGAGGAAATTGTTTAACTGTTGAAAAACTCTTACCTTAAATTAGCATTAGGACCTCCTGTGTTTTGTGACGCTGTTCAAGCGGTTGCAATCAAAGGAAGGTGTTGAAATAACACTGGATGCAGAAAGAGTGAAAGAGTTCCATTAGAACTAGCGAACAAAATAACCTGATCCATCAAAGTTTCAGGGAGAGAGAATGAGAGGGAGAGAGAGAAAGAAAGAGAGGGGGAGGGGACGATGGGAGGGAGAGAGATTGAGAGAGAGAAATGGAAACGGAGAGAGAGAGAGAGGGAGGGAGGGAGGGAGATAAATAGAATGAATGTGTTGGCTAAATAGATCGTGTTTCAAAGCAGTCTGGGGCTGACTGTTCCATCATTAGCTTTCAGGAGAATCCCCGCCCATCACAAACTCATATGATGCCTGACCTCAACCTTTCAAAAGTCACACACAAACGCATGCATTGTTTAGGGTGACATTTACAAAGGGTTCAGTGAGCTCACAGCTTAACACTCCTACAGTTAACACTGGGCATGAAATATCATTGTTAAAGATCACACCATGGACTATAGTCTATATGACACAACTGTAAGAAAGGGTGGAAATATCAACAATGTAAGGGATTGTCATCCTTATATAAAGGGTGGATGATAAAATTATTCATTAATAATTTATATGAAATAGTTATAAAATGCACCACCTATTTTAGTCAAGAGGAAACAATGTGTTACTGTAAGAAGGAGGGGAAATATCTAGAATATTAGCCGATCAATAGCCAATTAAATTACTGTGAGAGGTCTGAGAAACATTGGACATACTGTAGATATCAATTCTAGAAACGAATGGGTATAAAATGAGTATTTCCACAACCTGTTGTAACTTTGAACTTCCTGGGTGGTGAGTGTTTTCTAATAGTGCTTGGTCTCTCTCTCTCTCTCTCTCTCTTTTTTGTTTTGTTTTTTAACTTTATTTTATCAGGTCAGTCACATTGAGAGTAGAAACCCGTTTTACAAGAGACCTGGCCAAAATAGCAACACACAACAGAAAACCTGCATCTGTAAATATTTGGATTCCCTGACTGTGCATGACTCAACATCATAAACATTAGACACAGCACATGGTGACAGGCAGGGCAATAACTTTGATTGGAGATGTGGGTGGTGGGTTGGGGGTGTTCTGGTCTGGTGTTCTTCCCAATGATTTGTTTTCCCACATAGAGTTCACTTCATTCACTTCAACTTCTACACAATCTAACAAGGTCCCCTGGCATGGGTATTTTGAAAGGAGCAAAACAGAAAAACCATGTCCGTAATAAAAATGATAAAATCAAATGAACAGCCTAATCCTAAATTTGAGATTTTTACCACAAATTAAGCTTACTGCACCTGGTACTGCTATTGATGTTCATAGGTGAAATGTAGGGTTGCGCTGCTCATTGAATCTCCTGTATTTTTTGGCTACTACTCAACTTGTATGGAAACTGCCCGTTACTATGTATTAAATTCACCCGCCCCTTTGTCCTCCCACTTACCAGGTGTCATTTGGGTGGTGGTATAATTTTGTAAATTTTTTTATACCGTTTTTGTAGTTGTTGTGACATGGTCAAGTTCGTCACCTCCTACCCTGTCCGTTGGTCTGCCCTTTACGGAGCTCACATGCACCCGGTTTAACCTTTTTGTCCCAGCACGAGCCTGGTATCCAAACATCCTTACATCATAGCGCAAGTGAAGAAAGTGGTGTCGTCACTCTAGCACATTCAGAGATCGATTCATAGTGAACTTTATCAAAGTAATCTAAAACAATTCATAGATTTTAAACAAAAAACACGTTCTGTTTGTCATATATTAATATCAGATGAAAGGCGAGTTCCTAACGAGTTCAGGATGCCAAGCTACTGTATGTATTTTACAGTTATAAGGAAGGTGAAATCTTATAGTTAGCCATTTTATAATTTGATTATACTATATTTAGAAAGCATATACAGCGCATTCGGAAAGTATTTAGACACTTTAGACTTTTTCCACATTTTGTTACATTACAGCCTTATTCTAAAATGTATTAAATTGTTTTTTCCCCTGATCAATCTACACACAATACCCCATAATGACAAAGCAAAAACAGGTTTTTAGAAAATGGTGCAAATGTAGTAAAAAAAAAAAAAACTGAAATAATACATTTACATAAGTATTCAGACCCTTTACTCAGTACTTTGTTGAAGAACCTTTGGGAGCGATTACAGCCTCAAGTCTAGAAGACTTAGTACTGAGTAAAGGGTCTGAATACTTATTTCAGTTGTTGTTTTTTTGTTGTTGTTTTGAACCTGTTTTTGCTTTGTCATTATAGGGTATAGTGTGTAGATTGATGGGGGGAGTGACCTATTTAATCAATTTTAGAATAAGGCTTTAAGGTAACAAAATGTGGAAAAAGTCAAGGGGTCTGAATACTTTCCGAAGGCACTGTATATGACCTTATTACAGTATTATAGACACTATGTCCTGGGATTTCCTATGATCTTCTATGTAGAAAAACCCCTTACCTTCTAACGACTCAGTATTATAGACACTATGTCCTGGGATTTCCTATGATCTTCTGTGCAGAATAACCCCTTACCTTCTAACAACTCTTGTGTAGCTTGTGGACATCATAGAGTAAAACATGTGCTTGTTTGTGAGAGTCTCAGCTTTCATAGATAGCTTTTAGTAGTTTTTAGCTCAAACCATTCAGACTCTACAGACATTTTTGTAAAAAGACCCGGCCCGGGCCACCTTCGGTTCCGCCCTTGTCTCACAAACACCCCTTTAATTATTATACAATTTCACTGTAGAACCCCAAGTCCCTCTCAAACTGCCTCAAATAGTTCCTTTGTTCCACCCCCCATACACGCTGAGACTGGCTCAATCGGTGCCTCCAGTGATGCTATCGCTTTCATTGTTACCCAACGCTTAGGTTTACCTCCACTGTACTCATATCCTTCCATATCCTTGTCTGTACATAATGCCCTGAATCTTTTCTACAACGCCCGGAAATCTGCCCCCTTTATTCTCTGTACCCAACGCACTAGAAGACAAGTTCTTAAAGCCTTTAGCCGTATCCTTATTCTAGTCCTCCTCTGTTCCTCTGGTGATGTAGAGGCTAACCCAGGCCCTGCAGCCCCCAGTATCACTCCTACTCCCCAGGAGCTATCATTTGTTGACTTCTGTAACCGTAAAAGCCTTGGTTTTCTGCACGTTAACATCAGAAGTCTACTTCCTAAGTTTGAGTTATTCACTGCGTTAGCACACTCCGCCAACCCTGATGTTCTAGCAGTGTCTGAATCCTGGCTTAGGAAGGCCACCAAAAATGCTGAAATTTCCTTCCCCAACTACAACATTTTCCGTCTAGATAGAACTGCCAAAGGGGGTGGAGTTGCAATCTACTGTAGAGATAGCCTGCAGAGCTCTATCATACTATCCAGGTCTGTGCCCAAACAGTTTGAGCTTCAATTCTAAAAATCCACCTTTCCAGAAATAAGTCTCTCACTGTTGCCGCTTGCTACAGACCCCCCTCAGCCCCCAGCTGTGCCCTGGATACCATATGTTAATTGATTGCCCCCCATTTATCCTCAGAGTTCGTACTGCTTGGTGACCTAAATTGGGATATGCTTAACACCCCAGCCATCCTACAATCCAAACTAGATGCCCTCAATCTCACACAAATGATCAACGAACCTACCAGGTACAACCCTAAATCCGTAAACATGGGTACCCTCATAGATATCATCCTGACTAACTTACCCTCTAAATACACCTCAGCTGTCTTCAACCAGGATCTCAGCGATCACTGCCTTATTGCCTGCGTCCGTAACGGGTCCGCGGTCAAACGACCACCCCTCATCACTGTCAAACGCTCCCTAAAACACTTTAGCGAGCAGACCTTCCTAATTGACCTGGCCCAGGTATCCTGGATGGATATAGATCTCATTCCGTCAGTAGAGGATGCCTGGTTGTTCTTTAAAAGTAATTTCCTCTCAATCTTAAATAAACATGCCCCATTCAAAAAATACAGAACTAAGAACAGATATAGCCCCTGGTTCTCCTCAGATTTGACTGCCCTTGACCAGCACAAAAACATCCTGTGGCGTACTGCATTAGCATCAAATAGCCCCCGCGATATGCAACTTTTCAGGGAAGTCAGGAACCAATATACACAAGCAGTTAGGAAAGCAAAGGCTAACTTTTTCAAACAGAAATTTGCATCCTGTAGCACTAACTCCAAAAAGTTTTGGGACACTGTAAAGTCCATGGAGAATAAGAGCACCTCCTCCCAGCTGCCCACTGCACTGATGCTAGGAAACACTATCACCACCGATAAATTAACAATAATCGAGAATTTCAACAAGCATTTTGCTACGGCTGCCCATGCTTTCCACCTGGCTACCACAACCCCGGCCACCAGCTCTGCAACCTCCGTTGCAACTTGCCCATGCCCCCCCCCCCCCCCCCCCCCCGCTTCTCCTTCACACAAATTCAGACAGCTGATGTTCTGAACGTGCTGCAAAATCTGGACCCCTACAAATCATCTGGGCTAGACAATCTGGACCCTTTCTTTCTAAAACTAGCCGCCGAAATTGTCGCAACCCCTATTACTAGACTGTTCAACCTCTCTTTCGTAACGTCTGAGATCCCCAGAGATTGGAAAGCTGCCGCGGTCATCCCCCTCTTCAAAGGGGGTGACACTCTAGATCCAAACTGTTACAGACCTGTATCCATCCTGCCCTGCCTTTTGAAAGTTTTTGAAAGCCAAGTTAACAAACAGATCACCGACCATTTCGAATCCCACCGTACCTTCTCCGCTATGCAATCCGGTTTCCGAGCTGGTCCTAAACAATATTATAACCGCAATCGATAATAGACAGTACTGTGCAGCCGTCTTCATCGACCTGGCCAAGGCTTTCGACTCTGTCAACCACCGCATTCTTATTGGCAGACTAAATAGCCTTGGTTTCTCAAATGACTGCCTCGCCTGGTTCACCAACTACTTCTCAGATAGAGTTAAATGTGTCAAATCGGAGGGCCTGTTGTCTGGACCTATGGCAGTCTCTATGGGGGTGCCACAGGGTTCAATTCTTGGGCCGACTCTTTTCTCAGTGTATATCAATGATGTCGCTCTTGCTGCTGGTGACTCTCAGATCCACCTCTACGCAGACGACACCATTTTGTATACATCTGGCCC